CCTCCTAGTCATCGCACCTCCTAGTCTTCGTCTCAGGATTCCCGCATTTTGTTTCCTGCTCTCTGGTGTCTGCAAAGTATTGTTTCTTATCTTTCATAAGTTTTTCTGTTTTTTATCTTTATTGTTAAAAGTATTACAGATGGTCTCCCCATTCCCCCCATTGACCCCTCCAGGATACACCCCGCCCCAGGCCTTTACCTGCCCTTGTCATTTGCTGATTTGTCGACAGCCATTCTGACAGATTTGTGTGTGAACTTGGTTCTTGTCCCATCTTGGCCGGCATGAACAGCCTCAGTCGGTGCTGCAGGGGTCCCGCTCACAGACACACTGACCATGTCGCCGTCCACGTGGCCTCTGAGACCCTGAGCTTCACTTCACCCTCCTCACAGGTCTGTCTCTCAATGTTCTTTTTTTCTGTCCCCATTTTTCATTTGTTCTGAATCACTTGCTTTTCCTCCCATATGGTTTGCTTTGTATATTTTCTCTGCTATGTCCTCTCCTTCTAATCTCCCAGGATTAAGATTCACTCTCTTAAGCCTTTCTTGACCTTTTCTTTTGTTGCTCAGAACTGGCCATTCGTTTGTGTTTGTGCTTCCACCAGCCTGGTACTTCCCTTCCCGTTAGGGAACTGCTCCAGGACTTTGGCCATTCGTTTGTGTTTGTGCTTCCACCAGCCTGGTACTTCCCGTTAGGGAACTGCTCCAGGACTGTGGCCATTGGGTTGTCTCTGCGCCTGGTCCATCCTCCGTGGCGGTGGAGATGGTGTCCTCCTAGTTTGTGCTCCAGTGGCCAGCACCGTGCTGGGGACAGTGAGTGGTCAGGGGCTTGCTGAATCCGTTAGCAGAGAGTGGAGCAGTGAGGTCAGCACACCATGGCCAAGGCAGCACAAATGTCCATTGCAGTAGTTCTCAACCATGCGCACACATCTGAGTCACCTGGAAAACTTTAAAAATCTCCTGATGTCCAGATCCCAAGGGTATTAAACCCGAATATTGGATCGTGTGCCCCAGACATGAGCATTTCTTAGAAGTCCCCAGGGGGCTCAAATATGCAGCCACAGTTGAAGAATCCTGTGTGTTTCGTGCTTTGTAATAGCTTTGTTAAAACATGGCAAGAAGTTTACGCATTGTTAGTGCACGATTCAGTGACTTTTATAAACGTATGTGGTGCCAGAATACAGTTGTAGAACCTTCCCCTCAGCGCCCGATTTTATCACAAGCTGTCGGTTGTAAGCCGCTCCTCACACTCCGCCTCCAGGACAGCCACCCTCTGCTTCTGTCTGTGCGAAGTTCAGTTTCTCGAGGGTCAGCCATGCGGTAACAGGTCCATATGCACTTCCCCTCTGTTGCTGAGTGACATACATACATGTCAGTTTTTTGAATGTCTGGGGAGTTTATTGACAAAAAATTAACTCATGTTACTGCTCTTCTGTGAGTCACTCAACGAGAACAGGGTCTCTGACAGGAACCAAGGACAGCACAGGCTTCGCAGCAAGCGAGACCTGTTCAAACCCACTGTTGCTATTGGTTAACGTTGTGACCTTGGTCAAGAGCAGCTCTAAAACGTGTTCAGTGGTAACACCCACCTCACGGGGTTGTGAAATCAAAAGGGAGTCACAGGACAAGTGCCTGGGAGGGAGCAGCCAGCTCGATGCTGGTGCTCAGTGCCATTATATCGAGCATCTCTTCAGGCGAGCAGAGCTGACGGTCAGTCAGAACCACCTCTGTATCCTGAGATGCACTGAACCCGGACCTGTTATCACTGACGGGGAACTGCCCCATGCCCCGTGTGACTCCAAAGTCCATGAATTTATTGGTGCACTAGTCCTGGTGGCCGTGGCTAATTTCCACTCCTGGGCCATGATTTGTTAGCTGGACCAAGACTCCTGCATCCCAGCATCGCCAGCATGAACCACCTGCGAGGGTGAGGCCTGTGGGTGACGAGAGGGTCTGGGGTGCTTAGAAGCTGAGCACGGCCTCCGTGATTCGATGCCCCTTCCGATCAGCCATGACACAGGATCAAGGCCCCTCCTGGGCAAATGCTTCATGGGAGATGAAGGAGGGACTGTTTTAAGGCCCCCACGAAAGTAAGGGTGAGAGAAGATAGTAAGAAATAAAGCAACAGCAAACACAGCGCAGCTCCTGTCACAGAACAAACTGCTGAGCGCGTCTTCTGGAAGCAGAGCCGTGAGAGCGGCTCTAGAATCGGGGGATTTGAAGGTCGGATTCTGTTGTTTTTGGGAATATTAGAGCTTTAGTCAAGGCTAAATCAGACAGAAAGATTTAACATCAGATGCTTATTTCATCTAGGAAAATGCTATTTTAATTGTTTTTCCCTTAAAATGTCATGTATGCGCCCAGAGACGACGTGAGGAGCAGCGAGCAGTGTGCTGAGCGCAGGGGAGAGCGACGAGGCTGTGCTCAGGGGCTGGAGCTGGTGCCGTGGGGATGCGATACCCTGGTGACCCACAGCGCCCATCTTAGTAAAGGTGAGCGTTGTCTGAAAATGAAGTGAACAGAGATTTGCTTTAAATAGGCACTGAGGGAGAAGCTGGCTATGCTGGTCATCTGAACGCTGTCCCCGTGTCGTTCCTTCTTCGCCGACTCCGTCCACACCTTTGGGAACCCCTGGACCTGCTGGGGCTGGACCCCAACGTTTCTCTCCCCCCTTCCTCTTTGTAGAATCAATTAAAGAAAAAAAAAAGTTTGGGAATCTCCAAGGTTCCCCACAGTGGCCACTGCAAAAAATAAAAAAATAAAAAAAATAAAGTAAATAGGCACTGAGTATATGGGCAAGCACATATAGACCTAAGCCATTTTCACTTTATAAAATACACTTGTGCTGACGAAGTCACACTTAAAGCGATTTCCCATCAAGCAAATCCTGTTGCAACCTGGGCCGCTCGTGTAGCTGGAAATGGTTCTCCGTGGAAGATAACGAAGCTGAGAGGCAAATAGTGGTCTGGTATTTGTTAATAACATTTTTATTTGACAACAATTTCCCAACAGTTAGTGGGGATTTAATGCTAAACCGCAAGCTCTCTCATGCAAGCGGTTTATCCTTTAGTAAGAGACACAGAAGCTAGGGATTCTGCCACCAGGCGCGGTGCTGACTGCAGTGGGGGCCTCGGAGGGTCCCGTCCAGGGGGCAGGCAGGCGGGAGGAGTTACCTGGGCAAAGTGGGGAGAAGGTGGGTTTGGGGCTGGTGATGGTGGGGGGTGAAGGGGTTAGGGATGGGAGTATCAGCAGGGGGTCCTCTAGGCAGAGGCGGCAGGGCTGGTGCGGGGTGGCCTGCACGGTGCCTCCTGAGATTTACCTGGAGAGAGGTGGGCGTGGGGGTGAGGCCGGGAGGGGCACCAGGTGATGCGACTGAGTCTTGCCCTGACACTGGGCTGCGGGGCGGCTCCCAGGAGGGAGGAAGGCCTGCCTCCCCAGTGCCCCCAACACTCCCAGTGGGCACTGCCCCAGGACAGGTGGGAGGCAGGCCCCCCTCTGCTGGCAGGGGGAGGGCAGTTGGTGATGTTAGTGGAGCTGGCGCGATTGTCTGGAAGTCCTAGGTGGTGGGCAGCCCTTGTGTGGAGCCTCTGGCTGGAGAGCTGGCTTTCTGGGACTTCTCTGCTGCCATGGATGCCTCTAGGTGTGGGTTCCTGGGCGCTGAACACGCCCTCTATACCTCCTGTCCTCCTGCCATTTATTAACAAGTTACCTGAGAAAACCAATGGATAGAAAATTTGATTCTAAAAGTTGAGAAAAAGAGTGAAAGTGAAACCAACCAGAAATGCGGTCTTGGGTGGCTGTGGAGGAGGAAGGGACGCCCTACCCAGGACAGCCCCTCCAGGGGCCTGAGGCCCTCAGCGACCCCAGTCCCTGCAGGGACAGCGGGCAGGGCCTGTCCAGGGGCGCCAGGAGCCCGGATGGCCGTGTCCTTGGCATGTTCACATGTGTTCAGCATACTGAGAACTCCACGACCAGCCATTCATACAAATGTCCCTAATATTTACCCTTTTACAATTGCTATGTATTCTGAATGATTCTCAGGAAAAAAGAGGGCAGTGGCCTTCATGTGAAATAAATGTGCTTTTAACTTAAAGCAGAAGCGCTTGGCGCTGTTTGAGAGCATTTGGATCTCAGCTAGTGAAGCGAATGTTTGCCCACATGTGTTTGCTCTGATTCCATTGGTACCCGTCGAATCCATGCATCCTGATCACCCCTGAGAAAATACTCACTTCAGGAACCGGTGGAGCCAGGGAGCAAGTCCCATTAGCCCCGAAATAAATGCAGTTCTGAATTGCGTCCTTCCAAATGCTTCTGCTATGGAGGGAAGTCGATTGAATGTGATTCAAAAGCAAATACGTGGTATGACTGGCATCTCACTCACCAAAAAGGTTCACCAGCCCGTCATTGGCCCCAGTGCACAGCCAGGAAACTGGCAGCAGAACAGAATCTGCGCTGCCGCTCAGCCTGTCCCTCAGCGTGGAGGCGCCCAGCGAGCGGACTCATGCCAGCCAGCCGTGCGGCTGTTTCCCAAGTGGCACTTTCATTAACACGAGTGGCGTGAAGTGTAAATAGTGAAGGAGAAAGTATTGCTCTTTGCAGCTATGAAACATTGCAAACTGAGAGACACAGCAGAACAAGGGAAATGTTCCCTCTGCATTTGCAGACTCTCCCTGGAAGTCTCTTTGTTTATTTGCCAATGGTTAAGAGACTCGATTTCTTCCACATCCCTTTGTAATCGAACTGCAAGCCTTGTATAATTGTTAGTGATGTGTTATGCAGGCCGAGATGAAGTGACGGAAGTCCAGGCTGGTTGGGGACTTGGTTAATAAAGTGTCCCAATCACGTAAAAGGCGGGACTCGGGGGGGGGGGATTGCCTGTGGTGGATTTAGAGGGAAGGGGGTTTATCTACTGTTTAAAGTGCATGCACACACTGGGAGCTCAGGCCCTTCTCTGCCAGGCACTGGGCCTTCATGGACGCCTGGTATTGGACGAAGAAGATATGAGCAGTCATAGGCATATACGGGAGATTTTATTGCAGCCCAAGTAGCTATTAGACAAGACAGTTCTTCAAAGCTATTAGACAAGACAGTTCTTCAAAGTAGCCTTATAAAGAAGCTGTACAAACATAGCAGCCATTGATAATGCAGTAGCAAACATGGGAGCCACACCCAGCAGCCTCGCACTGGCTGGTCAGTAACACACTTTATACCAACTCAGACAAAAGAGGCTTCTTGCCGAGTAGTGGCCTCAGTCTTTGGGTTGTAGAAAGGCAGCCTGTGCATGTGCACAGTACAATCGCTGTGTCCTTGCTCAGAGTGGCCCTGAACATCCAGAGTACTCTGAAAGGCCCCCGTCCCCCACACGTGTATTGTGAATGCAAATGTTCATATATCCACCTGTATCCACATGTACACAGACCCACATGTGTGCATACATATATAGGAGTGGAGGCATGTTAAACATTCTAAGTGTGGGCCAGCCCTTTGCAGCCCATTGGTCAAGCTCCCCCTCTGCTCAGGTTTTTCCCACCGTCTGTCCTTGTCTGGGGATTTAATAATGGGTTGCTCCCCATCATGAATGTTTTGTCCCAGTTCTGGACTCAGCATGGGATTCGAGTCCCATCTCAGGTGCTGGGAGGGGCCTGGAGCCTCTGGATTTTCCTTCCTGAGGTGACTGTAGCGAGGCCAGATCAGGGCCTTCAAAGGCAGGAGCAGGGATGCCTGTCTCATTCCTAACTCCTAAGACATCACTGTTCCTCCTCCATAGATTTCCAGGGTCTCACATGTCCAGGGTTCCTGGATTGGGCGCTGTGTTTCAGGATTATCCTTGAGGAGGCGAATCTGCTTATTCAGCCTTCAAACAAAACGTTACTCACCCGAGGCCTCACGCTGAACCCATTCCCACCCCACACCCAGTCGGGTTTCTAGGTAGGATCCGCCTGACCCAGCCTGGTCCTGCTTCTAGGTCGGATCCGGTTTCTAAGTCAGACCCAGCTGTGGGTGAGAAAGGGGTCCTGTGGAAACGCCCCTCGCAGGGCGATCTGATCCAATTCCTCCTTGGACAGGTCAAGGTGGGCAGGCAGGCCAGGCACACGCTTTTCTCCTAAGAGGCTCATCTCCGCCTGCAGCCATGCCTGACGTGGCTTACAGGTTAACACACCTTGGACAGGCCCCTCAGACCCCCTTCTAGGGCCCAAGCACAGGCCTGGCCTGGCTCCCTCCAGTCTCAAATGCAAACCGCGGTTCTCAGAAGCATCTGAGATCTTGCTCCTGGCAATGCAGTCAGTTTGGCTCAAAGAAACTCATAAAAATTCTCTACAAGCTTGGACATTTCTTACGTCAACACACCAGAACCCCAGTCGGTTCTGGTTTCTGGCCTCAGTTTGACTGCTGGTTTCGGGGCTCATCTAGGAAAAGAACTGATCAGATAGTCTGAAAGCTCAGGACAGAAAAGCGGCAAGGCCGGGTCTGAGAGGGACCGGCCATAGGTCCCCACCCATGGGCTTCGGATCTCCTGGTTCCTCTTCTGATACCAGAACTATTAAAAGAGAACTGAGGCATATTACATATTTTAAGAGTTTATTTGAGCAAAAGTCCATTTGCACAGGGCAGATAGGAGGCTCTGTGCACAGTGGAAGATTTTCACAGGCAAGAGGCCACACGGACGGGACGGAGGTCACACAGGGCAAAAGAGCCGTGGTTGTGGCAAGTGGCTTCCGGCCAGGGGGGGCGGGTCCCCGGCAGCCGCCTCAGGATGCTGGCCCGGTGCTTCCTGGTCGACATGGGTAAGGTTATGTTTCCGGGGAAAATGAACCTTAATTATTTTTGGTTTGGTGACATGGAGCTTAGCATAAGCCACTCCATTTGAGCCTGCTTATCTTGTTTGTAACAGTATGAACAGTTGTCTTGTTTGTAACAGTATGAACTTTATGTATATATAGAACTTTGATTCAAAGCTCTTTCCTTATTTTCTTAGTTTTTCATTTTTGTAGTGAAAGCACTGTTTTCTTGTTATTATTTGTCTGACATATTAAAATACCTTTATGTTTCTCCTTATAAGATTTTGCCATTAAATAAATATATTTTACAGTTTTCTATATATTTTCCCAATTTCATTGCTGTGGATTTTACTTTAAAAGCTTGTGTACTTCCTTGCCTATAAATTGAAGGGGTAAGAAAGGTCCATCTTTTAATGTGTGACGTGAACCAGGACTTCTCAGGTTTATGGGGCTGGTGGCCTGCGGGCCCTCACTGACCCTCCCAGGAGACATGCATTCCATTCCGTGGAAGCACGCATCTCTGTCTGTTTTGACCTTTCTCCACCCTATTCCAGCACTCAGTGACCGTCACGTAACATGAACTCTTGGTTTTAAGGAGAATTCAGGTCTCTTCCCCCTGTTCTTGCTCTGCTGGAGAAAGGAACACACAGACGTTAAAACTGGAGTGTCTCCCCCCACTGCTTAGGAAAGATGCGATGGTTCGAAGTGCTCCCAGTCCTTGTGCAGCTTCACCCTCATGAGCCGAGGCTGTTCATGTCAGTAACTCAGTCACCAGCTGCTGAGAGAAACTACTCGGTGGGACAGGCTCTTTCACCGTGTTTGTCTGTGTGCCTTCTCTCCTACGGCGTGGACCCTCCCATGGAGGCCACTTAGCAGTCAC